GCAGTTCTCACTCCTGTGTTACAGGTGAAAGATGTTCTATTGGAGAACTCTGAGTTCTGTGAATTAAACCGCCTTGTGAAAGACACCCAGAGGCAAGTAAATGAACTTCAGGAAAAATTAGGTCAGTTTGATAGCATGACACTGCCAATCTGAAATATCATGGAGAACTGTTCTGACATTGGCCAGGTTAAGTCTCTACTGGAAGTAACTCAAAACAAGCTTTCGGATTTAGACTCAGTAGCCCATCTGTTAAAAGAGCATCCTAAAATGTCTCCGGACAACCTAAATAAAACTGAAAATTTGATTGACTGCTTGGCCTCTTCTCAACAGGCTATAGTTTACAACATCCCAGGCTCAATACGTCTCAAGACTATAAGACACCAAATCCTGGATTTTTGCGGCATGGCTAGTGTGCATGTGAATGCAAAAGACTTCGTAAAATGTCAACCCAGGCTAATTGTCCCATCATTTTTAAGTTCAGTAATTCCCTTGATGCTAGTAAATTTACTAAATTTCAGGATCACTTAACACTGAATAGCAATTATAAGTTTGTAACCATAGCCCAGAATGAAACACCGCATCAGCGCAGAATAATGCCTAGTAATAATCTGGTCACCTCCTCTGGCTTAAATTTACCGAGTATGGCATGCTAGACTGGTACTCCCTAGGATATCAACTCCTTACTATACGTAAGTGTAATTCTGTGCGAACACTAACCATTGGTATAAGTGGTTAATTATGAGGAATTTAGTCAAGCCCGAACATCTGCCTAGAGTTACGCCTGGATTACGTCTCCTAGCCATGGGTAAATCTGTGTGGACCAATGACAAAATAACCTAACCCATGTATTTGAAAACTAAGAATAGAACTTAGGCACTACGTTGGAGTTCGATTTCGTACAATATTAAGTGTACTCAAAAGTAGTGCATAACTATTATTTCACTGATGTCATTCCATCTGATCACTGGTGTTAACACACAATGCAGAATGAAATCTACACGAGACGAATAATGGGGTAGATGGAGCTGTGGCAATATTTCACTTACATGGAATTATGCCACCATTACTTTCTCAAGTCTCATTGGTAAGCCACATACTCAGGCATTGTAACATGAACACCACAAAGTCCCTCTAGATAAGCTGTTTAGTAATAAGTGGCTGAAAATAATGAGTCACAAGTGCAGCTACCATGTCATTCATAACCACAGGTAATTCCTGAAGGAGTTCGGAATACCTTAGTGATCTGAAAATGAATGATTATTAAGACTGATATGACCTACGTTATAGGTGTACTAGTGGTGGAATGCATCTACAAGCTACTTTTCGAAAGCAGGGTAGTACTAACTGTTAGCACTTGTGTCTCAGAAAGACCATCTATTGTATTTCTTAATAATAATAATAGTATACTCTCATTTTTTTACATGAGGGACGCCAGTTTACAGGCATCATCAATTCGATAAACTACACATACGATCAGTAAGCATAGTTAGTAATGTTAATATAATAAGGTACATAGTTATTCCTACAAATTCCTACACACAAGTTGTATAGGCATGGATAAGTATTATTTCAGTTACATATTTAAATTACATGATTTACGGTTAAACAACATACTTGCTGTCATTTTATCTTTAGTTTGTGGGAAAAATCTGATAAGTGGTGATTCAATGGAACACATCAAGAAATATAGAGATATTGACTTCGCATTAACAAAAAAACCCAAGTATGCGTTGGATAGATTACAGATACTTGGGAAAATAAATATAGCTTGAAGTCAAGTCCCTCATAAAACAATAAAATGCGTCTTACAATAATATATTCCCACTTTATGCACTTGAGGGACTCCAGTTGACAGGCATCATCAATATGATAATAATGCACACATAGAGTGAACATGTTTAAAATTATTCTCTAACACAAAATATATATACAAGGGAAGATAATGGAATATTGACCGTAAGTACACTTTGCATAAGTTAAAACAGTTTATATGGCATAATCCTAGGCACCATTATTGTTTGAATTTGTTGAAAATGAGCGTAACAACTGAGTGTTGCGTTACATTCGGTCGATATGGTGGGCTACTCACAAAAGTATAAAAATGGCTTTAAAAACGTTAGCTAGTTTACCGTAAACGATGTTTTAAGCAATATAATCTGCAAAAGGCTCACCACAGCAGTTATTATCCAGTTAAACATGCAGAGAAGCATTAGTAATTCAGCAACCGGTGAATTTTTGATTCTTTTCGGTCTGGAACCTGAGTAACTGCGAGCCAATCCATACAAAAATGTCGAAAGAAGCATGCAGGACCAGAATTTTGCCATCGAATGGGTCATCGGGATCTGAAATGCAGCTGTCAGCATATTTTCGCTACTTCATAGATATCCAGGTTTATTGGCGCTGTATAGGTAGTAATTTGGATTTGTCATCATGATCGACATAGAGTGAGGATATAGGCTATGAAGTGTTTAATTTTTCCGCGCCTCAGGTTTTCTCGTCTCTCATTGGCTGGAACAGTGGTGGCTAATTTGATATTTAATTTGTCCTTGTTAGGTGATGTCGTTGCATGTTTGTGTGCTTGAGGTATGCGTTGTTTACAAGCATATTTGATGAAAATAAATGTCAAATTTGAGTATTCTAACGTTTTCTTTTACTTATTTGTGCATGTACAAGGCTTGGCTTATCATACACTCGGTTTGTTGGCCTATCGGTTGCTGGCGATGTCAAGGAACCCATGAGTTCTTTGGCTTTTCTCGATTTTAGGTTATACGTGTAGCATTTTATTGGTGGATATTGCTCAGTGATGCATTTCAATGTTGCTTTTTCTACGGAATTATGTTGAAACAGTCGTGAGACAGATGGATACTAATTGACAAAGCCTTTTTAGTTTATTGCAGGTAGCCAATGCGAGTGAGCGCATTATTTATCCTGTAATATTGTGTGCATAATTCTATTTTTGTTTACTCTTCCACCTTTTGTAGTTAATAATGTGCTGCATAAGTGTCAACGATGGACATGGTCTCGCAACTCGTGCGCATCTGAAAGCGGGAGAAGTAATTGCACAAATGGACCATTTTCTTAATATGTAAACAAACTAATGTTGTATTATAATAAATATGAACTTTTCATATAAATCTTGTTGTCTTTCAATTCATGTGTTCGCCTTGTGAGCACGGCATGCTAGACCGGTGCTCCCTAGGACTTGAACTCGTTATTATACTTAAGTGTAATTCTGTAGGAACACTATCGACCGATATGCGTGGTGAATTATAAGTAGTTTAGTGGCCCTTAAGTCTCTGTCTACAGTTACGTGAAAACGTCTCATAGTCATACGCATGTCTGTAGGGAACAATGAAAACAATAGGTAGAACTTAGGCACTGCATTGCAGTTTCAGTTTGTATACGGTTAGGTGTATTCCAAATCAGTGTATTACTGATATTTAGATTAAAGCGTTATGGCAGTCCCTATGATAACGGGTAAATAAATAAATAAATAAATAACAGTATATTCTCATTTTGTACATGAGGGACGCCAGTTTACAGGCATCATCAATATGATAAATTACATATACGATTAGTAAACATATTTAATAATAGTAATTTAATAAAATACATTTTTTCCTACCTGTGTAGGACACATCAATTTTACAGGCATGGATAAGCATTATTTAAATTACATAAATTTGGTTCATGGTAAAGTTATAAGGTTGCAGTCATTTTGTCTATGGGAACAATATGATAACTAGTCATTCAATGGAGCACATCAAGAAATATAGAAATATTGTCTTCGCATTAACAAAAAAACCCAAGTATGTTTTGGATGGATTACAAATACTTGGGAAAAAATAAAGCTTGAAGTAATTCTTCCATATAACTTTGGTGTGTACGGCATCGAGTCTTATTCTTGATTTATATCCAAATTTGATAATAATTTAAAATAAGTAATACACTTGTATACTTTTTTCAGCATTTTCTTCGTAACATCACATAATAATAATGACAGTTTATATTTTCTTATAAACGGGTGTTTTCAAGAAATGCAAGCTATTTTTGCAGACAAGATCAGTTATGTTGTAAGTTACAATCGTGAAGTATTATAAATCAATACTTTTTTATTAGTATAAAGGTATATTTCACAACTGTAATCCAGGTTGCGTCGTTGGTGAAGGCAATGCGCAGTTCACGAGGGAATTGTAAGTTATGGGACCAATAATGTTTGCAGATCATTTGTCATTGTAAATGGGCAAATATCTACATTCTTCGTTCTCATTCAAAAAGTTAAATGGAAGCTGAAATGGTGAGAGACAAAAGAAGACAAACAACAACAACGCAAAAGAAAGCAAGTGGAGTACTTAGGGGGTGATTAATGTGTATATATACATATATATTCTGTGTAGTAATTATAGTTATTTTGGTGCACTAACTAACTATTCCCGTAATGCTAACTTTTATATTGTGTGAACTAATATTATTGTCCTGTGTAAAAATGTCTATCATGTACTTCCAATAATATAACAATTTATAATTGTAGTTTGTTGTAACTACACGTTTAATGAACTTAAAATATCTATGTTGGACGAAAAGGTGGGTGTAGGATTCAGACGCAGAAGTGCACTGTCATCTTTGAGCAGTCTGGTGACTGAGGAGATGAACACTGCGAGTGTGTTTGCATCGCGCACATCAGCTGGTAGTCTATTCCAAATGACTGAAAACTTATTTAAGAAGAAATTATACCGCATGTGAGTCTGACAGTGCTCTATAGCAGCTAGGTTGTGGTGATTTCTAAGATTGTAACTGATGACAGCGGTAGGTTTAATTATTGGCTCGGAGGAGTGCACGAGCAGATTAGTTAGCTTGTAGTAAAAAATTAGGTTCAGCTTAAGACGTCTTTTCCAGAGTGGTTCTAAACTTAGTCTGTCGCAACGTTCATAGTATTGGAGACCACTTTCTAAACCAAGAATTCTTAAGGTGAATTGCCGTTGCACTCCTTCTAACTTAAGCTTGTCATTTTGTCTGAGTCCGCTAAGAATAAACGGGCAGTATTCTAAAATAGGTCGGACACATACTTTATATAATAAAACCCTAGTTTCACAACAAAAGAAATTGCGAGTTATGCATCCTAGGAGCCTTCGTGTTTTACGTCTGGCATAATCAGTTTGTTCAGAGAACGTTAAGTTACTAGAGTATCTGATACCGAGATCTACGACTGAGTTGAGCTTGGCTAGTTTACGCCCATTTACTTCAAGATTCAGGTCAAGGTTACTGTTTCCGATACAAATCCAGCCGCATTTATCAATGTTGAACTTTAGACAGGATTCAGTACACCATGTTGCGAGACTACTTAGTTCAAGATGTATTTTATTCACCATATCGCCTAGTTCATGAGCGTGGCAGGAGTAAACGACTTTGAGGTCGTCAGCATATAGGAATGATTTACCTAAGGTGAAGCAGTTGCAAATGCTGTTAATGTATACTGTAAATAAAAGTGGACCTAGGACACTACCTTGCACAACCCCACTTGTGATCTGTCTAGGATGAGACAACACAGATCCAACCTTGGTTATTTGTACCCTATTGCTTAGAAACGATTTTAACCAGCTCAGTAATGGATTGCGAATCCCACATGAATACAGCTTCTCAAAGAGAATACTGTGAGATACCATGTCAAATGCCCTAGATATGTCGAAGTAGAGAACAACAACTAGCTTACGTGCTTCGCGACTACTAGTGATGCAGTTGAAAAAGTCGAAGTGGCAAGTAACGCAAGACCTATTTTTGAGAAATCCGTGTTGAGACCTTGTAACAAGATCTTCCTTAAGCAGATAGTCTGACAACTGATCTTTGACAACTTTCTCCATGATTCGAGAGACAACTGGGGTTATATTTATGGGTCTGTAATTGCGGACGTTTGCCTTATCACCGGATTTATAGTGTGGAATTATGAAGCTAGTTTTCCACTCATTAGGGTAAGTGCCAGTGTCCATAGATATCGAGAAGAATTTAAGAAGTAGTAGGGGTATGTCACACCCACTGTTTTTGAAAATTATGGAAGCAAGGCCATCTGGTCCTGTGCTAGTGGAAGGTTTCAGGCTTTTAACTGCTTGTTCTATTAATTGGTCGGTGAACACAATGCTTCCGAGGAAAGAGCTAGTAAGGGGGCCGGTGTCACCAGGAATGCGGGTTTCTAAACTGAAGTTTGCAAACCACTCACTGAATATTTCACAGATGGTGGCAGGCACATTGTAGATAACTTTGTCATGAAGTAAATAGGGGATGTCCCTAGTCGACTGCATTCGTTTTTTAAGAAGTGTTGTTAAGTTATAAACTTTGGAGGTGCTTTCAAGTGCCCTTAATTCTTCGTCGAGGTCCTTTTGAGAGCGTTGGCGCTTGACAGATTCAAGAGACTCATGGATTGAGTGCAGTAGTGATATATCCTTAGTTGAATAGTACTGTTTCTTCAACTTCCTTAACTTATTGCGGCATGCCCTCGGAATGTAATCAGCTTGGTGTCTACTTAATTTCACTACCTTCTTAGGAGCAACAGTATCTAGACAAAGGATAACATTCCTGTAAAATAGGGACACTACAGTCTCCAGGGAGTCAGTGGTAAAATATTCATCCCAGTGACAGAGTCGAATGAGTTCTTGGACTAATCCCCAGTCTGTATGTTTGTAACTACGACAAATCAAGCTCCCTGAATCCTGTTTGTTTCCTGTATTTAGTGGTGAAAAAGGCAGAGAGCAGAGCACCATTCTATGGTCACTACTGGAAAATCTGTTACCAACATAGGTGGAGACTGGGATTGTGTCATGACAAAACACAAGGTCCAACATGTTGTCACCACGAGTGGGTGTCTGGACGTGTTGCTGCCATCCATAACAATCGATAGTGGCAAGTAATTCGTCGAAGCGTTGGGGGCCGGAACTACTTAACCAATTGACTTCTGGAAGATTGAAGTCCCCTGCAATTATTTTGTAATTAGTACTAAACGATGAGGCGTGTGCGAATGATTTAGCTAATAACGCATCAGTTTCTTTGGTTGAGCTTGGTGCTCGATAAACACAGCCTATGAGAAGCTTGTACTTATCTCCTTGTAAGACGACCCAGAGTGAATCAGGTACATCGTTCAGTATTTCATCTTCCACCTTACTGGCTACGAATGAGTTATGTATATATATGAGACATCCTCCACCACGCTTGCAGTCTCTATTTGCACGGTGTACAGTGTAATCATCTATGCCTATATGCACATCAAGTACAGAATATGAGCACCATGATTCAGTAATCAAAGCTACAGTAGGCTTGGCGATAAATAATAATGCCCTTAGTTCAGATATCTTATTGATTAAGGAACGTGCATTAATTAGCAATATCGTGAATAAGTCACGGGATACTACAAACTGGCTTAAGATATCACCATAACCTAACTCTGTTTGTGCGTCAACAACGCAAGAGTTTATGAATGATACGGGGGTTGGACTGGGTGTCTGTGCATCGGGGTTAGAGTGCAGTGAGGTGGTCCTAGGTGCCATGGGTCGTACCAGTGATTCGGGACACGTGGAAAATTTACCATTTGTTCCTGGATATAAGGATAGTAGATGTTGGGCCTGGGTTGACGGTTAAAAAGCATAGCATCAAATGGTCTGCCCATCCACGTGCTATCCATCATACCGGTACACACCTTCGTGTTGGTTTTATAACTTAAAGGAAATTGAAAGGGAAGGTGCTTTGGTTGTAAGACTTTGGGGGTTTTGGGGCCTGACTTTCTATAAGGTGGAGCATACTGAAAACCACCAGATATACTTGTGTTTCGAGAGGAACTTTTCGTAAGAGGTGACGGTTTTTTGACAGTCTTACTCTCAGCAAGCTTATTGAATACAAAGTATTCTTCCCCATCATTAGTCCCAACCCGGCGAAATTTGTTCATTGTGGTGAGGTCACCACGTTTGGGTAAGAATTTCTTGGAACTGCTTGCAACAGTTCTATCTATTTTAACATCTTTTGGTGAGACGTTATTTACAGGGGTACTGGTATCTAAATCAGTCCCTAGTTCCATTGCCATGCGTGGTTGTTGTGTGGTCTGCTGAATGCTAATGTCAGCATTAGGTGACTGTTGCTGTGCACGATCGTTTTTGGGTAATTCTAAGCTAGAGGAGGTGACCAGGTTATTACTCCGCATCATTCTGCGCTGACACGGTGTTTTATCTTGAGCTATGGTTATAGACTTATAACTACTGTTCAGTCTTAGGTGATCCTGGCATTTAATAAACTTACTAGAATCAAGGGAATTACTGAACTTAAAAATAATGGGACAGTTAGCCTGGTTAGACTTTTTACGAAGTCTTTTGCTTTCACATGGAACACTGGCCATGCCGCAACAAATCAGGATTTTGTGTTTAACAGTCTTCAGAGGAAGAGAATCTGGGACATTGTAAACTATAGCCTGGTGAGAAGAGGTTATACGCTTCATCACCTCCGCAGCCAAGCAGTCAATCATATTTTCAGTCTTATTTAGGGTGTCTGGAGACATTTTAGGATGCTTTCTCAACAGACAGGCTATTGGGTCTAAATCCGAAAGCTTGCTTTGAGTTACATCCAGCAAAGACTTAACCTGGCCAATATCAGAACTACTCTCCGTGATATTTGACAATGGCAGTGACATTCTATCAAACTGACCTAATTTTTTCTGAAGTTCATTTACTTGCCTTTGGATATCTTTCACAAGGAGGTCTAATTTACAGATCTCAGAGTTCTCTAACAGAACATCTTTCATCTGTATCACAGGAGTGAGAATTGCACTCAATCCATTTTGTGAGCTAGTAGTTAATGCTGTATTACAGGGTGGCAATGTAGTTATAACCGAGGTTGAGACACTATCTAAAACAACTGTGTTTCTACGAACACGTTTTTTAGAAATTTGGACCATAATTACAGGGATTATATGACTATAAGCAGTAAATATATATCAGAGCAAACACGTGCAAAAATGTCACCAATTTCGAACGTACTGTAAAATTAAGTTTACACATAACGAATAAATAAGTAGGTTGAGCTGTAGCAGTCGCAGTAACATTTCGCTTACATTTAATTATGCAGTCAAATAAATCATCAAGTATCATTGATAAGTCTGACATCTGCATCGTCATGCAAAAAAACTTAGTTTCACTCAGATAGAATAAGAAAAGTATTGTAAGCAGGATGTCAAATCTATTTAATCAAAAAAAATAAGCAAATATCTTTACACAATTGTTTTTCGTAATTATTTCGCCCATGTTGAATTGCTGTGACCAAGTTGACTGACATTACCGGATATCTGTAAATAAGTGAACAAAGTGTATGTTTTTAAATCGCTGAAGTAAGGAAGAGGTAATGTTAAAGTTAAACGCTTTATATTTCCATACCTTTGCTGAAAAAGGTTCATTTTCCTTTTTCATTCTTTGGTGATGACAGCATTCTTCTGTATTTTTTAATGTCACACAGAGATTGTTCGTCTTATACAGTATAGCTGCAAGCAAATAATAAGTGTCAACTTGTAAACCATTCACAATGAACACTGTACAGAAAACTTCATCACATCTTCATTTTAACTAACTTTTCTTTCACGCACAGAAGCATGCAGTCACTACATACCCTCAAGCATTGTAACCTGAACATCACAAAATCCCTACAGATAACTTCTTTCATAATAAATCATTTAAACATATGAGTCATAAGTGCTTCTTCCATATCCTTCATAGCCACAAGTAATTCATTAAGGATCTCGGAATATCTTAGTGATATGAACACGAACAATTGTTAAGACTGGGATAACTTATGTAACAGGTGCCGTAGTTGTAGGACACACCTGCTAGCTACTAATCGACAGAAAATTGATACTAATTTTAAGTAGTCTGACATTTCAGGAGGACCATCTACACTGTTCTTCGTAACCCCATGCACACTGATATAAACATAATCTGATGCCATTTTTGACAATGAACAATTAAAGCCTTCTGATATTCCAAGTGCAAATGTCAATTAAACTAGTGTCATATCTTCGCCTAAGCAATTTTAAATGGGAACTTCATCAAAGTAGATATAATCACCAAGAAATGCAGCAGCCTGTCTCAT